AATTAGTCGGAAGAGTCCAAAACATGGGCCAAATCGGTGTATTTCGCAAAGTTAGGTATCGGACGTTTACCCTTCGTATAGCCTATAAGAGCAGATTATCGGCAACTTTTCCTGAGCTAACTTTTTTCCTATGGGAGATTTTTGAGCTCGGTTTTTTGCTAAATGTCGAGCTTACCCATGTGGATATGTGTGGAAAATTTCAGCTTTGTAGCTTTGTAACTTTTAAAAATAAAAATTTATTTGCATTTGAGCGCTTCTCGTGCAGTCGTCCCTTGTAACAAAAAAATATCCATTTTTTCCCCTAATTGATTTTAATGAGCTTTTAAGTGATATTCCGTGCCCTTGGGCCCTAATTAGCCGGAAAAGTCCAAAACATGGGCCAAATCGGTGTATTTCGCAAAGTTAGGTATCGGACGTTTACCCTTCGTATAGCCTATAAGAGCAGATTATCGGCAACTTTTCCTGAGCTAACTTTTTTCCTATGGGAGATTTTTGAGCTCGGTTTTTTGCTAAATGTCGAGCTTACCCATGTGGATATGTGTGGAAAATTTCAGCTTTGTAGCTTTGTAACTTTTAAAAATAAAAATTTATTTGCATTTGAGCGCTTCTCGTGCAGTCGTCCCTTGTAACAAAAAAATATCCATTTTTTCCCCTAATTGATTTTAATGAGCTTTTAAGTGATATTCCGTGCCCTTGGGCCCTAATTAGCCGGAAAAGTCCAAAACATGGGCCAAATCGGTGTATTTCGCAAAGTTAGGTATCGGACGTTTACCCTTCGTATAGCCTATAAGAGCAGATTATCGGCAACTTTTCCTGAGCTAACTTTTTTCCTATGGGAGATTTTTGAGCTCGGTTTTTTGCTAAATGTCGAGCTTACCCATGTGGATATGTGTGGAAAATTTCAGCTTTGTAGCTTTGTAACTTTTAAAAATAAAAATTTATTTGCATTTGAGCGCTTCTCGTGCAGTCGTCCCTTGTAACAAAAAAATATCCATTTTTTCCCCTAATTGATTTTAATGAGCTTTTAAGTGATATTCCGTGCCCTTGGGCCCTAATTAGTCGGAAAAGTCCAAAACATGGGCCAAATCGGTGTATTTCGCAAAGTTAGGTATCGGACGTTTACCCTTCGTATAGCCTATAAGAGCAGATTATCGGCAACTTTTCCTGAGC